GAGATTTTGAATACAAACCTTAGGGTCTGAAGTTTTCTCTGGAGGAAATGGGAGACTAATGAAGAAAAATAAGATAATCACGGTATTTACAACATTTATCTTGCATAAGTATATTAAGTGGATTTTAAAAAGTAATTTATAGAGAGAGAATCATATTAATTGGAATGGGGTGAAGAAGGAGGCCAACTGAAGAAAGTACCTGGAGCTATTACTAATATACGAGGTGCTTCCGTTTCTTCCTCATCTGTAAAATGAGTTATAATCTATCTCTTGTGTAAATAGGGTTGTTATTAAATAGAATGCTGCAATATAAAGTGCTCAGTACACTGCCTGACACAAAGTAGGTACTCAGTAGGTGCCTGATAAATGAATAATGAATGAGATCAAAAGAAATTCCATCTACATCCACTACTATACACCACCATTGATTACTCAAGCATTTTCTTTTTTAAAAATTCAGTACAATCCACCCTCAAAGAGATTATGGTACAGGTACCAAACCTACATTCTGGAAAAAAGCAAAGATCATCAATGATCACTCTTCTCGAACCTCCGTAGAAAGGTAACATGAACTTTAAAGGAGGAACGTGATGAGAACACTAAAAACTGAGGGAGTCAACTGTTTCTTTCCCTCTTCAAGCAGTAGATAAAAATGTAAGCCCCATTGTAAAAATCTTTTGGGAAAGGATATGGGTTTGTTTGTGTTGGTTGTCTCAGAGGGGGTACAGAATTCATTATTTTCATTTTTCCCCTTAATTTTATGCTAAGATTCTTCATTCAGTTCACGTAAAAATTCAAAGGAACTACAGTAAGAAAAGTAGAGATTGAAGGGAGAAACAAGTCATTAAGATCTGCTTTAGGCAAGAAGGGCTTTTGAAGACCCTTCAGGATCAGAGGGTCTCCAAAATCCAGAAGTTCCACAATATGAATCCATGATTATAGATTATATTTGCAGTGGCTAGTCACACAACAGAAAAGAGTACAGTCTAGCAAAAAGGACTACCTAAAAAGTCATCAAAAAAAATAGGGATTATATATAGTCCAATTTTATAATCATTTCTTTTGTGTTGCCACTAACAATCGTGGTGAAAATTTCCCATTTTAGAGCATTGCTGTGAATCTATAGGTTAGGCCCAAATGTAGAGCAGAGGATTGAATAAAGCGTTTTCTATTCTTAAGGCTGTAGACCACCTGCATTTGCTATGATTATTTCTGAGACCCCAAGAAACTTCTGGAAAGTCAAAACTTTGACAATCATTTATGCAGCAGGGACAAACTTTTAACATGGATCATTCAGATTTTAAGGGAAATTGGTGACACAGCAAAGAATGATCTTTCAAACTGACTTCGGATTCAATCACGGATTACAGAGATAAGTCAGGAGTGGACTGGGTGAAATGATCAACCGAGTTCATTAAAACTAGGACTTTTAAGCCCTCTTCTGTATAAAGAGGCATGGAACGCTCCCTCTAAGAGTATGAGAATCACTCCTTCATAGTCTTGCATTTTCCACTTATTCTAGAAAAAAAAAACATTTAGAAGGAGAACAAACATATTCAAAGGAACACTATGTCAGAATAACTGCTGTACAGTCCTATTCTAGGTGATAACCTCCTGTTTGTCTTTAGGGACATTATTTTATTTTGTTGCTCTTCCATATATATTTTTTAAAACAGGAATAAAAATTAGGATAAACATAATTATCTTATATAATGCCTCTCCTCTGTAAGGATTAATATCCTTAGCTTTTTGAAACAAAAGCACTTTACCCATACAAGAAAATTGCTATCACTACTCTTTATGAATTCAAATGAGTATAAACCCATTTTCCCAATTCCTGTCTCTTTTCATCTTCTAATGGTGTTTTTCCAGCACTTAATTTTTCTTCCAATTTCCTAAATGCCCCCATGCCTTAAGTTCCACCCTTCTTGGCTTGTATACTTTATACACAGCATGTCCAATAAACAATATTAACATGAGCTCACAAGGCCACAAGCTTAGGCCTATTACAGCGCTGGCATTTTGCACTTTTAACTATCATTTTCAGTTTTGAACTTGTCTATGCCACAAGTAAAGTGGATGGAAAATTACCTGAAGCTGTGTATATCTGAAAAGTTGTTCCTGGTTTTGTTTGTTTGAATCCAGGAAGGAGTAAGGTGGACGTAAGGCTACTTCAGAGAAGAATATAATTTGCAGCTGAGGAAAGGAAAATGGCTTCTCAGTTGTTTCTGGGCAATTGAGGATTCTACCAGGTACTCCAGAAAAAACCAGCCACCCTCTCCCTACAGCGCCTTCTTCTCCTCCCCTTCCCAGGCCCGGACTTACCCCCTCTCCCCCACCCTCCACTCCCAAATCTCCAGGGTTTGAAAGAGGGCACTGCGGGTGGGCTGCAGCGTTGGAGCCGTGGCTTTAATGGGACCATTGCTACAGGTGATGGCACTCTTCGCTCAACACGGTGCGCTATGCCAGTCCCTCTACCCCAAGGCAGCCCACCTCTGCTCTCCTGTGATCACCAGGGACATCTGCAAATGACTGAAAAGGGAAAGAAACACAGGGCTCTCTCATTTTTAGCGTCCCTACCACGCTCTTTTAAAGTTCACTCCACCATCTTATAGAGGGGAACTGCCTTCTGTAATTGAAATGATAATATCCCTTCGGTGTTTTTAGGGTCGGCTTCCCTACTGTGACTTCATGCTGCATGTATAAAAGGCATCTACACACGCACAAAAATTAACAACAAATACTAGCGCTCAAAAAGATAAGGCTGAACAATAACTAGAGATTAAAAACATAAATTATCGCAGTAAGGACGCCAAACAAAGCTTCAGTGGAAACGACAAACAACAATCTGCTTGCCCAATTAGACAAAGCTGCTTCACAAAAAAGCACGCAACGGAATCAAATCTCCCCTACAGCAGAACGCGGCTTAAAGTATCAGTGTTCCTTTTTCCTAAACACAAGTTGTCAGTAAGTTATCTAACACCTAATACTGCCACGAAGGTGGCCTCTGGGGCGCAATAAATAGGAACATATCTTCGAAGCGGAAAAATGGCACCGTGACCCCTTCGGTTGATGCAGATTGCAGTGCGGAGGCTGTTCTAAAGAAAAAGCAGAGAGCCGGCGCAAAATGCTTCAGTAGGGGGAGTGGACAAAGACGGGAAATTACTTTGAAAGCTAGGAGACTGTCTCCATGGCCAACCAAAGCGACTTATCTAGAACTGACTGACTTTTGCCCCCACCCTATCCAGAGAAACAGCGACTGGGCCGAGCGAGCCCGGCTGCGCAGTGCGCACTGCGGGCGGGGAGCGCAGGGCCGGCGCCCGCCAGATTCGGAGCCTGCTGAGTTGCGGCAGCGCGCCGGGGCCGCGTGCCCTGCTCCGCGCCACTCCACGCTCCGGGTTTCCGCGGTCACCAGCACCGCGCGGAAGAGCCCCGCCGGGAGGGCACCCGGGCGAGCTCTGTCCCGGGAGTCCCGAGAGCGCTCTTCAGCTCAGCGCCACCTGCCCGAGGCGTCTGGCCCAAGGAAGCGCATTCCTGGGCTGTGGGCCGGCCAGGATGGCTCTGACCGTGAGGCAGCGGCTTAGGCGTCACTGCCAGAGGCCCTCACCTAGTATAAGCCTTCCAAAGCCAGAGACTCCTCGGGCGGAGCTTTTTTCGGTCATGGCATACGTAGTCTCAGCTTCTTCCAGGCTGGACAACTCCCTCCACCCCCACCCCAACAGCCAGGGGTAAGCTGTCTCCTAGCAGCGGAGATGGAGCCCTTTTGCCCAGGGAGATACTCTTGGTGTCCTCAGAACCTAAGGGTTAACTGTTTTTCCTGGACGTAATAAGGTGTTTGAAGGCACTTGGCAAATTGTAAAGCTCTGCTTAAAGAGAACTTCCGTCTCCACTGCGCCTTCTGAATTTCCCTCTCTTGAAAATAAAATTCCACCTGAATATAAATCTCAAGAGGGATTTTGTTCACTGCCTTTATCCTCAAAGCATTTAAAGTGTCTAAAGTCAATAGGCAGACGGTCAATGAATAACTGTTAAATGAATATACAAACAACACACTTGAGGAAATTGATCATGTTGGGAACATGTGGGAATTCTCATTGCTTTCCTGGTAGGGAGGCGCCCAAACATTGGCTGGGCACTATTCCTTGCCAAGTCTTCTAGGCTTTGGCAAGTACAGTTGGAATCGGGGGAGGGCTGGCAAACGTATGCGCACTTCAAGGACACAAAAGGGGGCTTTATAAGATGGCTTGGTCCAAGACCTCTACCCAGGATTCCAAGGTTGGTTCATTCCCTCTCCTTCACTGCCCCCCCCCCAGCATATTCAATAAACCTTTATTAAGTGCATAAAGAAGGCGCTTATTAAACGTTTATTGATGGTTAGCGCGATTCGTCCAAGGTCACCCAGGGCAAGAAGCTTCAGACCAGCTCCCTTCAACGCACATTTCTCCAATGCGTGTGGACCAGGACCCTCCTGAGTACTGGAGTACTACAAGGCCTGGCTCCCAGTACTCCTAGTATAAGATCCTCAGAAGAAACGGCCCACGCAGAGTGCCCACCGTAAGGATATCATCGCAGGGAGCCGGGGAGACGCGCTGACAGCTAGCTGGGAACGCTTCCTTCGGAGAAAGGGATTTCTACAGTTTTATCCTTCACCTTATAGCCTGACAAAGGATGGGCGGGGGCCTCTAGGGCTGAGGGCAGCGGGAAAAGCAGGTTCCACGTGTCCCATCTCTGACCTCAGCCTTCACCACCACGCTGGGCAACCGCGGGGCGTGGTGAGACCAACTCGCTCTGCCTGTCCAGGTGCAGGTTGCTCCTTTGGCCAGGCTCCCTTTTCAAATCTACTTTCCTTTTGAGTTTCTGCTAAAATCTGGAGACATGGAATCCACCTGCGAAAACTCCGAGCCCCTCCAACTGAGCATGCGTCAATGCCTGGCTGCTTTTGGTCACCCGCTCCCGAGCTCTCCAAGCTGGGGCTGCGGAGCGGGAGGAGGAGGGAGGAAGGGGAAGGGGAGGGGGTGCCTGGAGAGGCGGCGGCTCGCGCGCCTGCGCATCCAGCTCCAGGGACCCTAGATTTTCTATGGGATTCCCAATCTGCAGCAGAGACTTACCGGAGCGTGTAGCGGCGGCTGCTGCTGGCCTTGCAAGGCGCTATCCAAGAGAGATTTAAGCAGCCTAGAGCTCCAGAGGGAAAAAAAAACGCGAGAGGACCACACAGAGAGACGGCTTAACAGTTTATCTGAATTGAATATATACATACATATATTTACTTATAAAGAACTATTGAGTTTTATCGTTTTCGTTAAGTGACCGGGCGCAGCGCTATAACTGTAAGTGGAAAATACAATCTTCGTTGCATTTCTGCATATGTAGTGCAGCCAGTTGTCTGGGAGATGCTTTGACTATTGTCACATACTTCGCTTTGCATAGATACATCTAAATGCATGCTGCCTATTGCTTTGGTTAATGCTGGTGATCTGAACGTGCTGTTTGTCCATGGGGGACCTTTTGGAATCATGGGGGAAGGGGAGTGTTTATATGCGGCGTGTTTGGGGGATTGTCTCAGGCTAGATTTAAGGTAGGTGAAACAGAGGTGCTTTTTAAAGTTTGTCTATAAATAGGAAGATTTCCTTACACAGATTTAAGTCGCTAATTGACCGATTGGGAAGTTTTCTGGTTGCTGATAAAACTATTGAAAGTCGCAGTCAAGTACCAACCTGTCATCCGTGGGGCTGGTGCACCATTTTTCTCACCGTGGAAGAGCAGCGAACGTGTTTGCTAAGTAAAACTGAGTGGACGAGATGGTGTGGAAACCAGGGTTGGTTTCCAAGTGGGATGCCAGTGTCTAGAACCACAGAGCTAGGCGCAAAATAAGTACATTTCTCCGTTAGTATTTAGAAATGGGTAGATAATTTTTCGGCTTTAATTTTTCGTCACGATGGTGAGTGGGCAGAAAAAGGAAAGATGTTCAACCGCCCGGTCAGCCGTCTATTTTGAACAGTCTGAGATTCAGAGCCGCCGAATGGAGACCGTCAGACCCAAACTATTACCTGCTTTTTCATCCCGTATTCGAATTCTTGAATGCAGGGTTGAAAAATGTAAACCTAGATGTTTTACCTTTGGTAGTGTTTCTTGAAAGGAGAAAAGGTCTTTTTGTGTTTTGAGTTAAGAAAGGGAAGCAGGGTCTTTGCAAGGTCAAACCCCTTGTGGAAATCAGGGGCGCTGGTGAATTGGGGGAGGGGGCAGGAAACGGTGATGCTCCGTGTGAGTGCTCAGCACTGCCCGATCGATCGGTGCCCTGTGAGATGCCAGAGTGGGAATCCATTTTTCTAGAGTTACCCTCCTGTCCATATTTTGGAGACTGAATTGAAATGGAAATGCTAGTGGGTGTAGAAAGAACATATGTATACTGTCTGTGTATTACATCCCACTTGAAGACAAGAGGAGCAAGGGAGTTGTATTTCTACATATTAATTTTTTTTAATTTAAAGGAATTTCACATTGAGACAAATAAAAAATGAAACTCTTGGAAAAACCCATTTTACCCTCACTACCATTTAAACTGCCTACGTGCGTTTGTTGTCGTTGGAGGGGGGAGGAGGGGGTCCTGCATCATTGAACACCTCACTCATGAGTACACTCTCATTAAACTTGGGTGCTAATAACCCCAGAAAAACGCTGCACTGAAGCCGACTGGCAGAATGGCATGAGACAGGCGGACAGGAGAGGAGCGTGGCCAGTGTGTGCTGGGTTTCCATGGAAAAAAGCAGATCCAGTTTCTGGCATGAAATGAAATAAATTTTACCCCAAATAGGACAGATCATTACAGGACTTTTTTGGCCCTTTAGTCAGTCCAACTGTATGGAACCCTCTGAAGGAATTTTTAATTTATTTAAGTGGATGAAATGTGACATAGAAAATTCGAGAATATATTGTCCTTGGAAACCCAAAGTGTAAATCATACCATTTCCCTTTTCCTCCCCTCTTTACTCCAGGGCAGGGGCACCAATCATTTGTCATAACTGAGCCATACTCCGTGTCATCACTGAGAGTTGGAATCAGCTCCCTGAAAGGTGCAGGTGTTGCACTGCATTGATAAATAGGTGGTGGAGCAAGAAGGGGAAACCTGGTATGAAAGCTCATAGACGTTTGCTCTTAGATACCCTGGTTTATAGGCTGACAGTTATAGACGGTCCCATTCCAAAGCGTCTAACCCAAACCCCTTGTTTCCCAGATGAGGAAATTGAGGCCTGGAGCCATGGAGCTACGAGAAAGTCAATCAACTTCAAGTCTATGAAATAAAGAATTAAAAAATAATGTTGAGTAGAAATGTTCCCCTCCTCTGCACTTTTAGCATCCTCAGTAACATTGCTGAAGTCTTCAAAATAATTGCCTGTTCCCTAGCACATCTTTTCACAGAGTCCCAAGGGGTCCTTTTCACACCATCCCATATCTCTTCTCTGTCTCTGTCTCTGTCTCTGTCTTTCTCTCTTTCTTTTTTTTTCTTTTTTTGTGAGGTCTCTTTCTGTCGCCCCTCACATCTGATATACCCACCTCATTTAGATGTTTAGCCTGGCCCTTCTGACACCTCAGTCAATTTCTTTGCAATCCTTGGAGTTTTTGGGGAGAACTGGCAAGCCAGTCTGAATCTTCAGATCCTGTTTGAAAACTGTCCCTGCCCATCTCCGTCCGCTCTCTGCTTTATTCCCCAGAATCCTCCAGGGAATCCAGCCTTCTGAGACACTGCAGGCATCTTCCCCTCTTTTCTACCTGTCTCATCTCCTCCAGAACTGCTGCAGCTGCAGGCGCTGGGACGGGGTGCAGTGAGGAAGCTGCAGTGTAAACACACAGTGGGCTCTGCCAGCTCTCCTCTGGCTCCTAGAAGGCAGAACCCAAATCCAAGGTGCTCAACTGTCTCCAGTCTTGATGGAAATCCTCCAGATGAAGCCACCTGCAGAGAAGGGGATTGAGGGTTGGGCAGGAAGACTGAAAGAAGATGCTTGATTGATTCAACCTGCTTCTTTAGAAGCAGGCACTAAAGAAGAGAGCAGAGCAGCTGCTTTTTAAAATCTTTGGCTCTTTCAAAGCTCCATCTTGCTGGACAGGGACAACAAAACAGGCAAAAATACCGTCCTAATTCGCCCTTCTCTTTCTTTCCTTTTTTTGTTTTTCTCTTTTCCATTCATTTGCTTTCTCTATTTCTCCCTCATTTTCTCCCTTTCACCCATAAAAATTTCCTGAATGTCTATGCAATAAAGCTCTAGGCCTTTTAAAGATAATGCAGGCATTCCTGTTTCTTCCTCAAAAGTATAATCTCCTAGGCACTCAAAAAGAGACCAAACCACCACCAGAGTCCCTTTGGGGGAAATGCCAGGAATTCTAACCTGAAAAAGCTGAGGCCTTGGGGGGAGCTTGAGAAAGACAGGATCTGAGTTTCTTCCTCATTTGAAAGATTAGCTAAATGCCCTTGGAAATTCTTAAGGAAGCCAAGGAAGCAAGGTGGTGAGCTTCTCAACACATTTCCCAATTAACAATTATTTAACCACTCCCCTCATGGTAAACCTTTACCGAGTTGGGATGAGCTCTGTCTTGGACAGAGTTTGTCCCTAACAAATGCTCTTGGGTCAGATGTCACTTGGTCTTGCTACCCCATTCTGAAAACAGGCATGTCCAAGCTGTTCTGAACACCACATAGCTTCTGCAGACATCAGAGACTGGTAGCTGCTAAATATCCTGCCTTGATTTGCTGTGCTTTGAATCTCATTCTGTAATAAGATAGCATGATTAGAATTGTTGTCCTGGGCAAGCTGTAGGTTTTCTGTTTGGGTTGTGTATAGGTATGCATTCCCAAACATTGCTGAGGAGTTCCCTGGGGACTTTTCATAGAATGACGGTGTAGTATCAATACCAAATGTGTGGTTTCCTAATTCACAAGAGCAAAATATGTTTAATGTCGTTCTAAAGGTCTTTTTCTTTGTATGAGTGATTTTTATACTCCTATGATTAGTGATTATTTAGGAAGACAGGGAGTTTCTTCTTACAGAAGGGGTCAAATTCATTTAATCTAAGATTGAAATTGACAATGTGTATCTCAGTTACATTTAGTAGACAGAAATAAATTAATTTTCTAACGTATCAAATGGCATAGAGACAACTTTTTTATTTTATTATTTTATTGTATTTTGTTTTATTTTTGAGATAAATTAATAAACAATTGATATTTCTGCTATCCTAGTGGTTTATTCACATAATAGAGTATATGTACTGAATGGGATCCATATAAATTACCTAATTCATCCCTTCAGTACATAAAAAACAAAGTGTAGTAAGGAACATTTTTATCTTAAGGACATACCTATGACGTAAAAGCACATTTCACAAAGGCAGAAATTTTAATGATCTTTTTCATATTTCCACAGTACCACTACAATGTCTTTTATATTTTATATTAGATACTCTACTATTTCTCAGAGATTTGTTCTAATAAGAATTAGTTATATGTACCTTGTTTATTATGTTAAGAAATTAAATAATTTCTACTAAAAGCATGTGCACAGTTAACACTGCTTTAAATATCTTTACATTACTAAAAGAAAAAGGACTAAAGTTTATCTTACAGTTTATTTTCAGTAAAGATATAAAAGCACTATATTAATACCTTTCAGCATGCTTTTTAATCCACTTACAGAGTATACTCCATTTTATCTCTTGGGTAAAAATATAAATTATTTTTGTATATTTATGAGAATTGATATCCATATGTCAAAGAGGGAATGTAAACCTAGATTATGGTAGATACGTACACCATTTATTTAGATCATGGGTCTCTTGAACTATGGAATTATTTGACCGTGTGCACATGGTGAAGGGACCATAACACTGGATTTCTCATTTACAGTTTGTTTCTAAAGATAGCTTATGCTCTCTTAAGTGAATCAAAATAGTTTGAGTTGCTTCCAGCTTCATTCATTGAGAACTCCACACATGGGATCTTGGGGGTGCTTTAGAAACTGCTTAATGAATGAAACAGAAATGGAATAGCACATTACTGAAGAATCCTCAAAGCGGTTTGACACTTTAATAATAAGGTGCCTGTGAATACGTTAAAGAGATGTTCTATATACCCTTATCAGCTGACTTAAAGCATGCAAGTCAGGCGACTTGTCGTGATCCTTATGTTTTCTCTGGATTTCTCCGTTGCCTTACTTCACTGCAGTGCTAACACAGATGACTTGCTGTGTTTTTGTTGTTGTTGTTGTTGTTGTTGTTGTTGTTGTTGTTTTTCGTTTTTTTAAAGACAATGCGCTGCATTTCTAACCATTTATTGGAT